TAGGATCTTCTAGGCTCTTTTACTTTTTCTTTAGATGGTGTAAGATTAAGTTGTTGTAAAGTGATGAGCCTAGGGACATTTTAAAACCGATGATACCTTTTGGCAGAAAGATACCTTTTGATATAAGGTATCTTTTGGTAAAAACGTACAATGTCTACTTATTAATTTTGTCCGTCATAGAATTAATAGGTGATTAACAGTATTTGTACTCTTACATGTGGACCACTTTAAAATTATTTTGTTTATACATAATACAAGATAATTGTGAAACTAAAATACTAACAGCATGACCCCGAACAAGTAGACGTCAGATTTGGTCCCAAGCACGTTCGAAGGTAGGCAACGGTTGAGGATAGTCGGACTAGTGACCGACAATCACAAGCATTGCTGATCGGAGGCGCAACTGTTGTTGCGAGGATGATGACCAGAATGGTGAGCGGACAATAAAGGTAAGGCTGTGAGGTTCAACTGACGCGTTTCTGGTCGATGGCGCGGCTGGCTGAAGGCTAGTAGCAGAGGATCGACCGAAGACGTGGTTGAAGGCTGGCCGGAGAGTGACGGCCTATATATATACATGCATATATATATGAATTTGTGAGTATATATATGCATTTGTGAGTATAGGCTCTAATCATGCAATTGTTGGACAAATCAACTTCTTTTAATAATATTTTGTGTAAAATATATGAAATTATTGAAATATCCTCCTAAATCAGTTTTTTTTAATTGAAACTACTTTTATATTCGATTTAGGGGGCAATTTGACAAATTCATGTAATTCAGATGGTAGTTTGTAAAAAAAAATAATATAGTGATGCATCGTTATGGTTCGGATGCAGTGTTTTTCAACCTGGATCAGCGACAGGTCGACCCGGAGCCGGAATCGATCCGGGTGGGCTATTCGGACAGAGCAACAAAGGACCCGGTCAAACTCGGTGAAAACCCGGCCAATGTAGCGGTCGACCTGGTGCGTTGACCCGGCTGGGTCAACCCGGTTGACCCGACCCCTATATTATTTTTTATTTTTAAAATGTTTTTTTTGTTTTTTAAAAAAAAATATGTATATATATTAGTATGCTAAATGTTTATTATGAAATACATAATATTAACACTTTAAAGTACAAATGTTATATACAAAACATTTAATTTTGCTACTTTTATTTATATTTATCTGACAAAATACTCTATATATAATTTAAAAAATTTTAAAATTAATTATCAGATTCAGCTATTGACCCAACTGGTGACCCGATTACCCGGATAGCTGCCCGGGAATTTTTCTTTTTCCAAAAAAAATAAAGGTAAAAATTTGAGCAAATGAAAATTTTCTTTATTGTAATCCATTGGAGCGAGGGAGAGAGATAGAGAGAGAAGCGACCGATCGAGTAGTGGGAATCAGGGTTTCCGATTTCTTTACTCGTCAGAGAAATGGTAGGATCTATGCGAACCAAAAAATATATAAGAGTGCAAATACCATAATAAAAAAAAATAAAAAATAAATAAACTCGCGGGCGGGCCAATTTGGCCCGCGGGCTATGTATTTTTCAGCCCGCAGAAATGCGGGCCATTTTGGTCCGCCCCGTTTGGACCGCGGGCCAGCACGGGCCGGAGCGGGCCGGGCTGGACCGGCCGACAGTGCTAATTGTAATCCATTGGAGCGAGAGCGAGAGAGAGAGAGACGAGAGAGATAGAGAGAGAGACGACCGATTTCTTTATTCGTCAGAGAAATGGTATTCCGATCAATCACCACAACTGCCTTATCCAAATTACAAAAATGTAGGATCTATGCTGATCGTCTTCGTATGTACTCTGGTGTTTCTTCTTCTATGCGTCCTCGTACACGGCCGCCGCCTCCTCTTATGCGGCCACCGTTTGTTGAATGTGAGCGTAGCACTCCGGAAGAGCTTGGTACGAATTTGATGCAGGATAGCAAAAGCCTTCATCCCATGTTTATGTTGGTGCAGCTTTTACACGGCGGATCCCGCAACTACTCTGCACTCTCAATGCAAAACAACTCCTTCAAACCGCTGCCTAACAGTTATCTTCCCAACTTCTCCCGACTAACTAAAAACAAATCCACTGGTGTCGTAGCAACCTTCTACTCATGGTTGTTGTTTTGGGCACAACTGAAAGAACGCGAACTTGTCACCTATCATCTGTGGAACCCTTCGACCGACGAGTTCAAAACTCTTGCCCCATTCGAGATCGAACCCCGCCTGCCTAACTTTCATCACTGGGATCATATGCTTTGGGGTGTCGGGTTTGATTCTGCATCTCAGGACCATAAGGTCGTCAGGGGTACAAGGATTGATTACTACGACACTAATGAGCACAATGAAGATGATCCCTATTTTAATCCCACTACGGACTGGTCGGAGTTTGAGGCTGAGGTGTTGTCCCTCAAAACCGGCGTGTGGAAGAGAATCGAGTTTCCTCATGAACCCATGTTCCATGACTCTAACCGCCGTTCTATTCACATAAACGGCTTTGTTTATTGGATCGTCCGCTATAATCGTTATGTTATTAATAGTCATTACGTTATTATTTCATTTGATACTTCTATGGACGAGTTTCTTGCTGCTCTTATTCCTATGCCCGAGATGGATAAGCAAATAGACTGTTGGAATACTGTTCTTGCTGAGTATCATGGATCGCTTGCGTTCATTGTCCACGATTATTGTTTTGATCTCAACAAAGTTCAATTTGCTGCCGAAATGAATCATCCTTTTGGTTTCGAGATTTGGGTATGGAATGACGGCAGCTGGTCCAAAGTCGCCACATGCCATGTCCCGATTGCTGAGGGTATTACTAAGGTTATGGGCCTCTTCAATAATGACAAAGTGCTTCTTATCAACTCAAAGGGCGAGCTGCTGCTTTACGATCATGTGACCACTAACCTGGAGAATCTCGGTTTCAGCCATGATCAGATTTGTATGGTGGATATTTACCCTTATTATGCTAAGAGCACATAAAATCCGAGCTTGGGCGTACGTTTGGTGGCATCTTTGTTTATTTTTTATTGTCGTGAGAAGAGAAAGAGGATTCTTCAGCAGCAATCACAATCGCAACCTTCTCCGAAAAACAAAAGAACAGGGGCTAGCACATAAATCACTCGTGGAAAGTAACTTATGTCTATATAAGAGAGACAGACGCATGAAGGATCAACACTGAGACACTTAATCTAATTGAATTGAGTTACTTCTCACGCGGAGCAACTCATGACCAACACAAAGTCAGTTAAACCTACCTAATGTTCTAAGGTAACTTCACTATTTATGGAAGTTTATAGACTTAGAACTTAGAAGCCACAAATATTTTGGAGAGATTGTGAATAGAAAAAACGGCCTAAATTGACCAAATTCGTGGACAGATGATGAGTAGAATATGACAATATGTATATTTAATATGATAAAAAAAAGTGAAGTATTTCATTTGTTTCAATTAGATCCGGATACTCAACCTCGGTGAATTATCGAGTAAATTGTTGTTTAATTGGGTAATTAACTTTAAAATTATATATATCATTTTACATATATTCACAGTTCATGAGGCTTTTTCTACTTTTACATTTTTTGAAGCTTTCAAACCCGGCTCGATCTGAGATCACATGTGCCATGAATTTCAATTTGAATTGTTATGTTTTCCTTGTATTTCTTGTCATTCTGCATATATGGGGTACCAAAGTCATCCAAAATCTATAGTCTTCAATAGGACTGATGCAGAGTAGCCAGCTTTCATCAACTGCAGACAACTAAATAGTAAATTCATGCCTTGATCAACTAATGAACAAGTGCTACAGCCCATATGCATTATTGGTTTCTGTCAATACAACATGTGAAAAAAAAGGGTATTCTACAATATGTAATTGCTTGGTAGAATACCAACAGATATGTATATGTAATCAGTTTATAGAGCAATATCATTTTTCTTCCGAACGAGTCGAGTCCGAACACAAGCTGTCTACAGACATGCTATGAGTCGCGCTAGGTTGCTGCCAGAAGTGGTTCCTTATGGCCTTGTACTTTGAGTTGAGAGTCGAAAATCCTGGATCGGACAACAAGTCCTGAATCTCAGTATGACCTTCGAGCATGCTTACCACCTGGGACATTATCGGCCTTAGAGTTGGGGCCGCATTCGTGCACAAAAGGGCTACATTCAGCACAACCATTGCTTCTTCTGACGAGTATGCGGACCCCAGCTCGGGGTCCACCAGCTCCAGTAGGCTGCCTCTTTCTTGCAGAACATAAGCCTGATTGGAATTTAAGGTTTTTATTTAGTATTTGTTCGCTGAACAGAGAATGATTGTTGCAAAAATTGACAAAAAAGAAAAAAAAAAAGGGAAATCTAATGTTTGAACAAACCCAGTCGAGAAGATAGACAAATTCTTCCTTGGGCCTGTAGTTGGTGTTGCTTTTCCCACTGACTATTTCCAGTGCAACCACGCCGAAGCTGTAGACATCCGCTTTGCTTGTCAGGTAACCGCGCATTGCATACTCCGGAGCCATATAGCCTCTGAGATCCAAATAAACCAATGGATTTGTCAGTCGGGTTCTGAGGCCGAACCTAACAGTTAGGCAAGCCAAACCGACGTATTTTTTGAAGAAAGAACATACTTAAACCAGTGAAATTATGTATTTTTTTCAAATTGGGACATGTGATTATGGAGCATGTAAGGTTATAAAGAAAGTACGTTTGTCTAACTATATGCCGACTTCACAACAATCCTATCGTTTGAAAGTTATAATGTCGCGTAGTGTGTACGTGATTGTTGTAAGAGATGTACAAATAATAAGCTTAACCAAAAACTTACATGGTCCCAGCAATTCTGGTACTAATATGGGTATTATCATCCTCGTTAAGCTTAGCCAGGCCGAAGTCAGATATCTTCGCATTGAGATCTTTGTCCAGCAAAACATTACTCGTCTTGATGTCTCGGTGGACTATCTTAACACTCGACTCTTCATGAAGGTAAGCTAGGCCTCTGGCAATGCCGAGGCAGATTTTCCTTCTAGTGGGCCAGTCTAACTTCAGCTTTTGTATTGGACTCTTCCCTATAAAGCAGAGAAAACAAATCAAACAAAAAAAAGGGTAAGAAGCTCGTCAATCCAAAGTCAAATGTGCGTAACTTTGGGCGACTGGGGTACAGTCCTCACCAAAAAGAGCGCGAGATATGCAGTTATTTTCCATGTACTCGTAGATTAACAACAACTGGTTCCCTTCAACACAACAACCATAAAGCTTTACTAAATTCGGGTGTTGCAGTGCAGATACCATTCCTATTTCGTTGACAAATTCCCGAGTTCCCTGTTTCGACTTTGAAGAAAGTTGCTTCACCGCTATGATGGTCCCGTCAAGTAACAGACCCTGTAGTGACAGACACAAGTAGATTTTCAGTACCACTAGATAATAATGCGAGAATGTCACGAGTGTGGAATTTCATCATCATAATCTTAAGTAAAAAAAAAAAAA